CCAGCGTCTCCTTCGAGCAGCTCCAGGATGTGCCCGCGAGATCCTTGAGGACCCTGGTGCATCGGCTTACTTTGCTTGCCGCGACGGATGTCGAAACGCCAGGCGAATGAAATTGTTGTCCAAGCGGTCGAATCTTCTCAGCATTTTTTGTGCATAATTTCTATAAAGCATACTTGAATTTATAAGCGCATCGAACATCAGTAGGAAAACTGTATAGTACTTAAGTAGGAAATCTTTACAATACTTAAGCACTCATTTTTTCCAATAGTTTGTTTTTGCAGGCTGCCGGGTAAAGGCTAACTCAGAATCCGGCATCCTGAAGTCACCGGAATTACGTTACTTAATATTACAACCTGATTTATGTAGTGCTTTCGAATGAAAAAGACATTGCAGAATTTCAGTTAGTATTTCATGAAACAGCACGTCCGGCGCACTCCTATGACAACGGCTCTGCTGTTAAACTTTAAGCGACGTGCTTTCCGCATAAATTAACAATTATTGCTGCTTATTTCGCAGGTATTTCGACTCACTGGGTTCATTTACCTGCCTGACATCTTTTTGACCTTCCTTTCGCATGTCCTTCAGAATATCAACCTCTACGAGGGTTTACTCTCCTACCCACGGATGAAGAATTCCCTCAGGAACATCCTCACGGCGTTACTTTACGTCCAGCCTGGTCGATATCCACAGCTGTCGTTCTTTCCGTTCAGACCCTCGACGATAATTGACGCACAATCGCAGATGATAACTGATCGTGTTTCGTCTACATTACGAAGTTCCACAGTGAGTATTTGCTTCGGGGTTCTAACGAAATTTTCCGTTGGGGGTTCCTTTTCTGACTTTTTGCCCTCCTCTCATACCATAGGGTCCAAAAAATCTTCAGTCCCGCTTTCCTTAAAGCTTAGATGACTAAGGGCTTTGTAGATGTTACCGTGATACGAATACAGTCAATCCCGACCTTTCTGTCTTTTATTCATTTGTTCTCGCTGCAATAGTTTTCAGTGGACCTGCAAGTCCAGAATTCAAACATTGTGATCGTAGGAAAACGTCAAATACAACTTCGCTACTCATACTTAGCGTACGTATTAATGTATTTTTCTGGGTAATCAGACATCTTTGGAAATATTTCTAGCTGCCGACCTTGCTATATCACTGTCGCATTTACCCATCCACAGCCACTGCCGTCGTTGTTGACCTCTCTTACACACCAATAAGTTTTTTTCAGCCGGTCGTGCAAATCAATCAATAGTTTCTCTCTTCTGAATCAGTCTTTTGCAGTCTCAACGACTTTTCGGTTGTGACTGCAAACTAAATCCTTTGTAAGGAAAGGTCCAATGGAAAGACGCTTGACCTAGTCCAATTTCACCAAGTACTGCTTGCAACAAGCATTTAGTATGATCCTTAATGTTATAAAGGAGAACATTTCGGTGGGGTCCTAATTGCAGACGGTCCTCCATTTCAGCGATACAGCACTCATTTTCTGGCTTCTGAAATTCTTATTTTCTCGAGCCTGCCCGGTAAACAATCTGTTTTTAGGCTTTCGTATTGAAATATTCTGTTTCTTCAGCTATTGGTAGTTCAAAGTTACGGCATACACACCATACGCTGCAGACAGCATCAATCTCTGCCTTTTTACCGAGTATCTTTCACTGGTTGTCATGTGGATCCTGCTATTTTTTTTTCGCCTAACAGACGTTATCACGTGAACATTTAATGCGCTTCACTGTCGATTTTTTGACTCTGCATGTTACACTCAAAGTACCCGTCGTCCGTTGAAAGAAAGAATCGGCGAAGACATGCCAGTGTTCGGCTGACCGGTGCTGCTCGCAGACGTCCCAGTTAAACATAACGCGACTACTTAGTGAGGACTTACAGTACGGCTCCGAATTCGTGCAGCATGCTGGCATTTGCGCAAGATTGATACTCACGCTCTAATCGGCATTGAGTAAGGTTGTAATTGTTTTAACGGTAGCCAAGGCTGAGATGTCATCGCCTAATTACGTCTCGTGTGAGTCCCCCAAGAAAGAACACGACAAGAAGAGGGCAAAGCAGAAGTCTTTGAGTGTAATGGGTACAACATACTAAGAGCAACAAACGCGTGTAAACTATGTCCATCGGGCCAATCAGCTTCTGTCCAGGCGTGGGTAGCGAAACGATTGGCTTGTGACTCAGTGGCATGCTGCAATTTAAATGTTAAATTATCGATTGATTGACTGCAAGTTTGTGTTCGCTCGCGTGTAGGCCGATCGATAGTTTGCCTTGAACGCTGCTCGGTCTCGCACGCTAGCAGCCTGTTAGCTCCTCCTAACAGTAATAATGATTATAATGTAGTCTATTCTGAAGTCATTTCAACCGGCTTTTACCGAGCTTCTTTCGGACTGATAACCGAAAGTAGGTACTGTAAAAAAGGGCGACTTTAATAGTATGCATTTTTATCATTGATTTTGACTGCCTCTATAAATTCGAGTATATTTTATGGAAAACATGCGCGAAAAATTCTTCTACTCGTTAGGTAGAAACTTGAGCCCTCTTTAAATTTTATAGTAAAAAGGTATCCTCGGTTTTAGAAAATTTTTTCATCATGTGATTTTTTACGATTGTTAGGTGTATATTCATAATAAACCCTATTGATTCTGCCTATAATGTATACAGTATGATCCACATATGTTGAAATATTGTATGAGAAGTATGTGATTTCTTCTTCAAACCGTAGGCAAAAACGTACTTTTCCTTAAATAGGATGCACACAGCACGCAGTTTGTAAACCTTGAGTTCAGGTGTAGCAGTTGGTGGGTTTAAAAATTATTCAGCAATTTAGAAACCTTTTTAAAACCAAAAGGCACCCTTTCTTTAAGTATAAAATTTAAAAAGAGCTCAATTTCTACCAAAGGAGTAGAAGAAAGCATTTTTTCGTGCAGGTCTTCCGTAAAATATATTCGAATTCATAAAGGCAGTCAAGTCAAGTCAAGTTTATTAAAGGAAATATAGGCAAACGCCTTTGAACTCCCTTATTTACACAGTATTAAAGAAATGCATCGACACATCCGAACATTTCAAAGAAGTCGTTGACACAATTGTAGGCGACTACTCGCTTGT